TGCAACTCCTCTATTTGCCACTCAACTCCTTAGGGACATCCTATAGGGTGCAATGGAAATAGGGGCAGTACCAAGCACTAAGTTTATATTAAACTTGATCTCCCTCTTTGGTGGTAAACTAGCAACATCACTAAGGAATGCCTCAGGAAATTCTCTCACACTACAAGAAATGTTACTTTTAGTGACATATAAAAAGTGTCACTATAGATAAAAATTATGTAGGTATAAACTTATTTGACATATACCCACACACAATTTTTGTGTTGATTTTGAATGAGATTTAACAACATATATTATGTGTCACTATAATCTATAGCAACACTTTATAGCAATTGTAGGGATAAATTTACAAACATATACCAACATGTATTGTGTGTCACTATAACTTATACACATATTTTTAGGAATAAATTTATTAACATATACCAACATATATTGTGTGTCTCTATATCTTATACCTACATTTTTTTAGGAATACATTTATTAACCTATGCCAACATATATTGTGTGTCACTATAGCATATTTTCAATTTGTTTTTAAATTTAAATTCTTTAAATTGATTGCCTATTATTATTATTTTTAATAATTTTAAACATATTCATCTTTAATATACATGCTTTACATTTTACCTTTTGAATATATATTTCTTGCAATCTATATTTTCTTTTAAATAATTTTTCTCTGAAATTGTATTTTTGAATTTTACCCAATTTTTTTCTTGTAATGCACTGATATATTGAATACTAATATTTATCTCTTGATTGAGCTTTGCATCATTGACAACAGGTATCCAATTTCTAGACTTGACATGATTAGAAATTTTATTTAGCATGAGTAGAGTCTCCCTTAAGTATAACCGATATAAATTTTAAAATACATCAAAGAACATTTGAAAAGATAAAAAAAAAAAAGAGGATAAAATCCCCGTGGTGCACTAGTTTTACTTTGTTTGTTTCAGGTGTAGGTGGATATATATCACCCTCTTTCACCCTTATCTGGTGATAGCCCGACCTCAAGTCCATCTTCGAGAAGACGGATGCTCCCTTAAGCTGATCCATTAAGTCATCTATCCGTGGCAGTGAATATTTGTTCTTAATGGTCAACTTATTCAACTGGCGGTAATCCACACAAAGTCGACTACCTCCATCCTTCTTCTTTACCAACAACACAGGAGCACCCCACGGCGAAACGCTCGGCCGCACCAACTGTTTCTCCAATAGGTC